GGGGGGTGAGACTCTATTTATAGTGTTCTGGGAGTAATGAATGCAGGACTATGAACCACTTTGATCAGACAATATTTGATAAATATTTGAGTGCCAGAATGATGTCGGAATTGAGCAATCTTGGGTTCGTTGGTGGGTTGTTAAATTCCACACACATCAATCATTTGATGTTCTACTTCTACACTATGATAATATTGGACACCCACATTGGGTACTAGACCTCTCAGTTGTAGTTGGACTCCAGTAGCTTTTGAACCTCCTCCCTGATTGACTCAATAAGAGTAACGACCGATGACCTCATCTTTTGAACCTTCTCAAAGATTTAAGTTTTATCACAAGCCTCCAACCCCCTCTCATGAGAGGGGTGGGACTCTATTTATAGTGTTCTGGGAGCAATGAATGCAGGACTATGAATCACTTTGATCAGACGATATTTGATAAATATTTGAGTGCCAGAATGATGTCAGAATTGAGCAATCTTGGGTTCGTTAGATTCATCTTATCAGGATGCTCAATTCTATTATAGGCTTGCTAGATTTGACATTCGTTTAAAATTCTAACTATGCCCAAAAAAACTTTCAAGGGTGGTTTAATGACTTGATCTGAGCTTGATTTGACTAATTTTGTTAATATTGGGTTCTTCTTGTAGAACCTGCCAGTTTGACTATAAGTTTGTTGAAATCGGAGTTTGAGATGAGTTTTTATCGAGGTTTGAATATTTCTTGCTCAAAAAGTCACATCAAGATCTATGTCAAACTTCGAGATTCGTGTCAAATGATGAAGATTTGTTGAAGATGTATCATACATGTATGCAACCCTTAATTTCATGCTTTAAGTGAGGCTATATGTTATGTAAAATGAATTGCCAAATTCCAAGTTTCATCTTTTATGGAAGGATAAATACTAAAATGTGTTTTACATAATAATCAAAATTAAGCACAAACTTCATATATTCTTATAATCATTATAAATGTACCACTATAATAAATCTCTCAAAATGAAGGACACTCATAACTTTCATACAACTTTGTGGCATAATCAAAGGAAACATTGTGAAACTTAAATTTTAATAAATATGAAATGTTTTAACATTGTGAATTAATGAGTCTACTACAATATATACATATATATATATATATATATATATA